GAGGTGTCTGCCCCCAACCCCCAAACAATAATGCTGACCCTGGATTTGGGTTAAGTGCCTAGCCCAGCATGTGAGTGTTCAGTAAGTGGAAACCATCACCATCATTAGGTGACGGAAAACCATTAAAGCTCTGAGCGGGCTTGTTGGCCAAGAACAGTGGTCGTGTATTAGCCACTACTAATAATCGCAGCTGACAGTCACTGAGCACTTGCTCCATGCCAGGATCACAGGAAGCACCTCGCATGCATTTCCTCAATATTCCCTCCCAGTAACGGCGAGGACACAAAACTGGTAGAGCCAGGACTGCAATCCAGGCAGGCCCCAAAGCACTCCAGTGGAGCCTGCCAAGGTGGGCAGACTTTCACGCTAATGAGGTCCAGTATTTGACCACCACTCCTAGGTGAGCAAGTTTAACAGAAAACCTAAAACTAAACCTAAAATCTAAAAACCTAAGCAAACGCATAAAAAGCAGGCTGTTAAAATGGATCATAAATCTTGCATCACTCACTGGAAAACCACTCAAAATAAACGTCTCTGCGACATGGCCTCTGGGGAGGGCACTCTGTGTGGCTCGTACCACCCTGGTGACAAACCACTTGAACCTGGGTGGTCATCTGACCACATTTCACAGATGATGCACAGAGCCATCTGCATCCACTGTGGTCAACATTTAGAACATTTTAAGCTAACATTTGCCAAATTGTAGCCTACTGGATTCCAGGTTCTCTTGACATCTTTTTCTAGTAGCCATGTCTTGCACTTCCCAAGTATAAATGAACCGAGATGCAAACAGAAAAAAGGATTTAAGACTAATGAAAAGAGAAAAATCAAGAAAGCACAATCATTAGTGTCGACAATAGAATTTCTGAATTCCCTGAAAACAATCTATATAAATGCATGTGAAATAATACACCAGCATCTGTGGCCCACACGTCACATATCGGGAACTGATGTCAGAATATAAGGTAAACATGTTACTGTGAAAACACAAATCCTCACAAATCATTAGGCAGTAAGGCTGAATGAAGCATCCCCCCACGCACAGCGCAGTGAGGCAGTGTCCAGCAGCCATAGTGCTCCCCGCGCCCCAGTCCAGTCTCTGGCAACATCAGGTACTTCCCACTAATAACGAGGAGCCTTTCAACATTTTCACAACATCTCAAAACCGACCCCTTTTCTAGCTTAAATGGCACGGATCTGGAAAGGGAAACTATACACAGAATCGGAAAAGATGACTGCCCCTGAGGGATTACAGAAAAAGCTGCAGTCAGGTGTTCAATGAAGTAAAATGTGTCCAACGATACCGCAGGGGAGGGGGATCAATTGAGCTGAAACTGGCAAGAAGGTAACTCCAGGGAGCTCACAACACCCAAGGACCCGGATTTCCCGCCGCCTGAACGTCCAGTATTCCACACTGATAAGAACACCTCCCCATAATTCCCCTGCCAGAGCCTCCAACACCCCCAATCCTTTCCCCAGGAATGCAGTCCCCGTTTCTGCGGCTCCTGTAACAGCCACGTTCCCACACAAGTGCTGCCTGAGCTCCCCAAGCCCTCCAACAATCACCCCCCAATGCCCTCGAAGGTCTATTCAGAGAAGTCACCAAGATGCAGTCACCGAGGAAATTCAAGGACCTCCAACTTACCAAAAGGCTTCCGGCTGTACAGAGCTAAGCTTCCTATTCCCCTCCTAAACCTACAACCTAGTTTTCATTTCTCAAGAAGCCTTTCCTTGTGCTCATGCACGCAGTTGTTAGCTGACTCGGTGAGGCACTCCAAAGAACAGCGGCAGCCACAACATAAACCAGAAGCATCTCCACCACGAAGCAGTAATAACACTTTGTCCTAACGATCCCTTTGTCCTTGGAACATGAACTTCAGAAAGAAAGTTACCCACTGCGAGCAGAGCAGGCTTCTGGGTCCCGACCCAGGTCCCACTGGCCCACTCACCGTTGGAGAGAGCTTGCTGAAGCTCGGTGTCCGAGATCACTCCACTCCTGTCTTTATCAACCCTACAACATCAAGAAGACCAAATAAGCTGGCGATCCAAAGTTCAGGAAAAGCAAAACAAACGTCTCCTGTCAACCCTGCACCGACTCTGGAAGGCTCGGAGCCTCCTGGAACCTCCGCCTCTCCCATCCCGCTGAGGAGGACACGAATCAAGGAAGTGCCCCAGGAGCCCACGTCCAAGCGGGGTCTTCCCCTAAGAGGCCAATCATCTTTCTCTCTCAATCCTTCCCTTCCTTCCTCTCCTGGCCTGTCTGAATTCACATTTGCACCAGTTTCCCTTTTTCACAAACAAGATTCCCTCAGATAACTAAGGCATTCCCTGGCCATGAGTCACTACAGTTTCGGTCATTCATTCCGTGGAAAAGCGACCCGGGACAGAAGGCGCCGCCGGAAAGGTCACCTGCCCCGAGCAGACGCCAGGTCGCTGCTGCTTCCTCGGCTGCTGACACT